GGGCACCGGTCAAGGACAGACATTTGAGCCTGTCGACCCTGCGTTCACTGACGAATTTCCCATGTGAATCAATGAGAAGACCCGCCTGGCATCCTGTCGCCGGGGAGAGCGACTGCGCGAGAGGGCAGAATGAGGAGGGCACGGCAGTCTGGCACTCTGGGTATTGGGCAGGCTGGGGGCACTGGTGTGGCAGAGTGGGCAGTGGAGATGCCAGTGGTGAGCGTGTGTGGGGGGAGCGAGTGTCAGGAAGGAAATGGGGAGTGAGTGCTGCGTCTTGGGCCTCCGGGCTCCTCTGTGTCTACTGATGCTTCTCCGACGGGAGGTGGTGAATTTCCCCTTATTCTTTTAGGTACACCGCAGTCTCCCTTCGAGCTCCAACACATCAATTCAGCTACGTCTAAAATATTGTTTGTTTTTTTCCCCAGTTTGTTGTCACGCTCCATCTGTTGCACTTCAGCCCGCGGCTGATTAACTGAGGCCTCGAATTCGGTTTCCCCTGGGAATATTTCACCTCTGAGCGGCTGTGCTGCTTCCCTCCCTGCCTGCCTGCGCGCGGCGTCGGGCTCGGCCCAGCGACACCTCTGAAGGGAGCCCGGCGCGTGGCCAGGCTCTCTGGCGGTGCTGCGGTGCTCGGCAGTCTGCGCCCTGGCCCCGCGAGCCGCTGGTGCCGGCTGAGGGGTAGCGCAGATTCCCCTGTGGTTCTCTCTTTCCGCATATTAAGAACTGTTCATTTACATTTTTCAGGATCCACTAGATCCTCTGACCTGTTTTGCTGACATTGTGTTACTTCTACACTTTCTATAGAGTGCTCTAGAAAACAACACAACCTTATGATCACCTTATTAAAAAACATGGATAAAACGTGATTTTCTCAGCCCTTCTATCTAAATATTGACTCAGAAACAGGGGCCACATTAGGTGCTAATAAGAGATGCTCAGTCTTTCCGAAGAGCCCGGATTCATTTTGTGTTCTCAACCCCAGGACCTACCTCTTCAGGGACGCTGCAGCAGACAGGGCCTTCGGCTTTCCCTTCCTGTCCTCTCCGTGAAGCACCTGTCTGTGCAGGTTACCCAGCTCCACCTCATCATAGTCCAGCAGCCCCAGTCGTCCTGGAGTTGTGAAAGATGTGCAAGAGTTTGCCACAAGCGCCTGACTTTGAATGAAGGACATGCTACGGACCTGCCGCCGACAAGAGGGGAAACCACTGAAGCCTCTAGTCTTGAGAGGCATTCGCAGCCCCCACTACAAGAAGGACAGGGACTGCACTGTCGCTTGTATTGTACATCTCGACAGGTGGTCGTGCCGTCCACAGAAAAGGAAAAATACGTGACAGAACCCAATCTGTCAAGTTGTCAAACTGACCATCTAATTTAATAACCACATCCTATGTTTTTATATCCAATACTATTTGGATGGCAAACTGCTGAAAATGTCATAGTGTTCTGTGTTCTGCAGCAATCAGCCTCACAGCAATGTGCACTCCTGGGAAACTCTTAACATAGGACCATTTTCTCAGGAATCCAGTCTATTATACAGAGAGCACACACAAAGGAAATACTACTCAATCAGACAGGTGACCCTGTAGATGTATTATCTCTGCCTGTCCACGCCTACATGCTTATTTATAACAGATGGACACATCAAGTATTGCATTTTATGAAATTCCATCCTAAATGAACCAAGTGAGTCTTAGCATATAACGTTCATGGGTCTTTGGCAAACGTTTTTCCACAAGTCAACACTTGTAGAATAAACCTACCTTTGTCCTTCATAATGTTTACCTTAAATCAGAGGTTGCACCGTGGATGTGCTTCAGTGTACAGTGACATGGTTTAAAACACAACATTTAAGATTCATCTGGAAGCACGACATTTAGAAATGTTTTTCATTCAAATCTGCCATAGTTGTAAAACTGCAAATGGAACACAAATGAAAGAAGACAGTTTGCTAGGTAGTCAAACTGACCATCTTTTAAAAACATACTATGCTTTCATATCCAATATGAAAACTTTTTACAATTACGTATGGTCCTATACACAAAGGTATACTTTTATCCCTAAATTGTTTCTTCATATTCTTGTATGTAATATCTATAAACTGTCGGTAAACTTGTTGGTTTCCTGATGAACACATCAGGAAAAAACATCTAAAATAATCGTCCCGCTTTCACAAAAATAGGACATACGGCAAAAATTGGACTTGTGGCACACTCCAACTCTCCTATAACTTATAAAACAATAGAAAAAAAAGTCTGACTAGCCTATTCCCTTTTTAATCTTAAATTATGTTATAAGTAAATTATATTACACACAAGATGCCTTGCCTTTTTCCAAACTATAAGGGGAACAGCATTAACAGCAGGAAGTGTTCAGTAATGAAGGCAACGCGGGTTGAGAGGTTCTGGAAACAGTACTATACTCACGAATCACAATAAAGGTAGATTTCCTTATTCGCTCATCTATTTCAAATTGTAATGAAGTGCTGGATCATCTTTTGACTTCTGATTCCACAATATCACTGGACTCTTAAAAACACATTACATTATTCTGTACTCTTTTTTTTCTTTGTAACACTGGGCATGATGCTGCCTTGCTGGCTTTCTGATTGTTAATGATGGGTATGCTGTAAACTGAATTGTTGTTACTGATATTATTAAAAACAAATAAAAAGAATATAAAAAAACACACGGGGGGTGACGTGCTATGAGGCGTTACTGGTTACACATCTCAGTCGGCGTTCCGTACCTACGCCAGCTGCAGCCAGATACTGCGCCAAAGGACAGCCCAGCCCTCCGCACCCCACGACCAGCACAGAGGTCCTGCACAGCTGCTGCTGCCCTGCAAGCAGGAAAAGCACAGCCTTGGATCAAGTAGCAAAACACTGCACCATTTCCAAGAAAGGGAAAACTGGGAAACCCACTGGAAAGCCGGGAACAAAATCTGTACATCTGATAGCTTAAAAACAAAATGAGTATTGTTAAAACAAAAACCAATTTTGGTATGTAAATGGTTAAGTACAGAATAGTCAACCAATCCTTAATTAAATGACACTGGTTCTCAGTTCCACAAAGACACACTTATGATAGTTACAGGAGAAGTATCTGCTCTTCTCTGGACTGATTATGTTACCATATTACAACCAAGATATTGCTCCTCCAGAATCAGTTCAGAGAAGAGCAACTACTCACATCCTCTGATGTCAAGCAATGACCTATGCCAGCAAGCTAAAACAGAAGAGTCTTTTTAGTCCCAAACAGAAGATGCTATGAAACTAATCAAAATCCTCAAAGGCATTGACAACCCAATAGACATCATCAGAATCAGTGAAACACAAACCACAGGACTGGAGTGCAAAGTGCATTTAAAATTAAAAACAAGAGGCACTGTATACAAACAGTTTATAACAGGCTATCCAGCCATGCTGATGGAGCAGATACTATGTATTTTCAAGAAAAAACCTCCATAAGATCTTAGATCGAGTAGATACTAGCAACCAAACAAGCCAGATAGATCAAAGCTGTAATAGGAAAACCAGGTTGTTGCTGTAAGAGCAGGCACTCTTTGCTCTGCATCAGGATTTCCACACCAACATCCCAGAACAGGGCACACCATGATAAGAGTTTCTATCCATCTGACGAGATGTTAAAATGGGATCCTAACTACCAACAGCCTCTTCTCTTTGAAACCATTTATATTGTAGCGCCCTCATCAGGCAGTGACGGGACACGGAGCAGACAAGCAGTGGGGCTGGTGATGTCACTCCTCCGGAGAGCATGCTGGGATAAATGGGATCTTGTCTGGGATAGCTGGAAACTATCAGAGACATTGCTAACTGCTGTGACTCGGGGGGGAAGGACAGGGGTTTATGTACATATTATGCGAGTGTACATCTGTGGCTGTCCCATGTTTCCCCATCCAGGTCTGTGACCTCATGTTCCCACCCTGACCTGCCTGGCCTCTGTCTGTCAGGACCCCCCCCTTCACTCTATGTTATAAACGGGTTTCTTTGTATTGGTTGGTGAGAACATTTGAGGCTTGATGGCGTAAAAAGACTACAACAGGGAACATTAGGGTACATGCTTTTGTGTAAAGGTTGTTTTTGGGCCACCACAATCAGACTACTGTGGAAACCTGGGGTTGCTGAGCTTTGACAGCACACGTTCAAGGACGTGGAATCCCACTTAAATCAAAAGATAATTTGAGGGTTGCAAATCTATGCCACTGGCCAGCAGACTGAGAACAGCCCTGCCCCACAAATTCAACAGCAACTAGATGTGTGGGGTGGAAGAGCGACCCATCAGCTAGGACCTCCAGTTCCTTTGGGACACCATTGCCTGGGATGAAGACCAAATGTGCCCACAATGGTAGTGAACCTGAACCAGGAGAAAGCCTTCGACAGAGTAAACCACAGCTGTCTGCTTGGAGGGGTTGTATGCTTCGGTTTTGGAGAGAGTTTCAGCCACTGGATACAGATACTGTTCTCTGAAGTGGGCAGCAGAGTCGATATCTGGGGGGAGAGACGTGCCGCATTTCCCCCAAAACCCGACTGCATCTTCTGCAACCTCCGTGGGGCACTGCGGGAGCCAATCAGCCACAAGTACCAGTACTTTGTCAGGCTGTGGTTCTCCATCCTGATGAAGCACCTGGTCCAGTGGACAAACACTGGACCAAAAGCAGAAAAGCAACCCGAGTCCTACTCCCACGCTGTCAAGTGGAGCAGGAGGTACGAGGCCACGAGACAGCAAGAGCTCTGCACCGACCACAGGGTCCTGTACAAGGGGGTGAGGGAGCAACTGTTCACCAGGGAGAGGCTGCAGGCTCCCAGACAAGTCTGGGAAAGGATGCAACCAAAGGACCTAGATAACAAGTTAAAGGGTCTCAACTGGATGGCGGTGCACCAGAGAGAGGTCCTCGACAGACACTCGCTCACCAGGACACGGATCGTCAATGAGACGCAGGAGCACGTGTTCTGGAGCCGCCCCTTCGCCAAAGAGGTGTGGGGCAGAAGGGACAACACTCTGCAACTCCTGGGAGCAGGAGAGGTGCTAAGATACCAGTGCCTCCTGCTGGGGCTGGCACAGACAGGACTGGCCAAAGGGGCACAGTACTTGCTTTGGCTCCTGGTGTCCCTATCAAAACAAGGGCTGTGGAACGGGAGGACCACTCTCATCCAGCCCAGCACAGAGACGAGAGCGAGGGAGCTGGAGGAGAGGATCCTCGTGAACCTCAGAGGGAGGATGAACCTTGACATCGCCAAGTGGGGATTCTCCACGGCGAAGGAGCCCTAGAAGAGACTGTGGGCCCTGTACAGGGACTAAGGAGGAAAACCCTGTTCCCTGAGCTCCTGCGGAAGACTGGAGAACTGCAGTTTCAGAGCCGGGACAGGGGAAAGCCGAGGACAACAGCAAGCGGTAGTGCTTGGAGGGACTCTTTCATTGTGCAAATCCAGCCCCAGCAACCACTTGCACAGGGACTGACTGAAAAAGGACAATCACCTTTTTAAGAATGAAATATAGTAGAGGTTGCACGACTTTGGGTGATTTGTTAAGAGTGTAAAATGTTTACTGTGAAATAAAGTTTGTTTGAAAAAAAACTATGGTGTTCTATTTAAAAAAGAGCACTTCTAACCCCACTGTTCTGCGTGTTTATTGCCCGCGCTACAGTATGTTTCTCTACTAGGTTATTAAAGATTAAATTTGTAAAACAAGGGGTATTATTCCTGGTGTCCTACTGTAGCTAAAGGCCTGCCTGGGCTTACACGGTCTGCTATTTCAATTCAATTCACTCCAGAACAATCGTTAAAAACAGCCAAAAACGTGTGCGTGTCATGCTTATATACCTTTAACACCGAACTGGGGGACAAGCAGTTGCCTGCTATACCTCATGATCTCTTCGTTGGAGAGAAATGGCTTTTCTTGCAGGGGAGTCAGTTGTGTCACAGTTCCTTGTACATCAATTGCTTCAGTGCTGCACTGGGAATCCTTACAAGGCAAAGAAGAAATTGGAGAACCCTTACAAAATATATATACATGTTTATAAATGAGTGTCAAGGTTTTCTAGCAGAGGTTTGCTAAACTGGTCGTTAGGATTAAGTTAGGATGAGGTTTTTGGATTATGAATTTCAGCTAAACAACAAAACATGGGAAACGATGTTTGTATAGTTAGACGCCATTGGCCAAGTTCAAGTCATATCGATCTCTTTCTTGATCATTTGCTCCGAGAAAGCAGCGAGCTCTTCATAATCTAATTCGTCAACACAGTGTGAGCAGGCGACACCTTACAATAACACAGAAATCTCTGCACTAAATACAACGTTTTGTCAAATGAAAGAACAGTGAGCATGTAAGTCTTCAGATCTCCAGAGGCTGAGCACTTAAAAATGAGCTTTTCTCTCGTTTTCTGCATTACCTATTTAGATTATACGTAGTGCACAGTACTTAATAAAGTTACCTTTTAGGATTACTTGGATTACTATATAACGAGAAAAAATAATACTGACATAAAAGCTGCTGTGTCGTGCACAATCAAAGGGTTTGAACTAAAAAATGAAATACCTTCAACAACCGTTCGAGTTTGTCCTTTAAAATGCCAATCTCATTTTCTTTCACCAACAGTTGTTCCTTCAGGCTTACTATATCTTGCTCCATAACCGCTCTGTTTTTTTTTAACTTTTCAGGCTTACTTGAGAACAACAGTATCTATCTATCGACTCGTAATGTAAAGGTAACTTGCTAATGAATCTTTTCTCAGCTCGGGCTTCCTGGACTGCAGCAGGTCCCCACGTGTTTCTCGCCACGTGAGCGCAGAGCAGTGTCATGTGATTGACTGGCGCTGCAGGGAGTTCGTGTTTGCATCTTTTTGAGTCTATTCATTTCAATACAGATATGGGTCATCTTTTTTCAGAAAGACTTTTTGCTGTGATTGTTTTATCGTCGGTATCTGTTTATTTGTGTGCCGTGTGCTTTACTTTCAAAGGATTACTTTTTTAAGGCACCATATAAAGTAATTATATCATTGCTATCCCCAACGTGGTCTAAACAGCATGTCAAATTGGAGATCGTCACATATTATTATGTATTATATATTATTAAAGGTCTGTGCAGATTAAAGATCATTGGACATCAGACACGAGAATGTGAAATGTTGGTGTTTGGTGCTCAGTAGTAGCTCCTTGAAGCTAGCAACAGTTACTGGTAGCAGAAACGCCAAATTATCAATAATTTAGCCGCTGAATCCAATACAGGGTCTGGGGCAAATAGATTACATTTGATATTGTTTTTTAATAAGTAATTTCTTGCATTTTAAAATGCACCAGATAGAAAGAGAAACAGATTACGGGAGTTTATAATGAGGTTACAATTTGTCTCCAACTGTTAGTTTTAATTTTTATTAGGTCTTTTCAACAATTCTACAGATTTCTGGGTTCAGTCCAAGAAAGATCAACCAGACACATTATTCCAGAACATCAAGACATGTCCTGCACTGCCAGGCTGAAAGAACTCCAGCTTTTCAGTCCTGAAGAGAGAAGAGTTAAACGTGCCTGATTCAAGACATCAGAACTCCCAAATCACTGACAAAGTCAACCCAGCAGAGTTCTCGAAAGTGAACGGTGAAAAATGAACCAGAGGACACCAGTGGAAACTACGGGCATTTAAAATGTACGAAGAGGAGGCATTTCTTTACCCAAAGGCTTGTAGGAGTGTGGAACCAGCCATGTGGTTGAAGCCGATTCCCGAAATCATCCGGAATGAGATCCTTGGATCCATTAACTGCTACCTACCAGACAAGCTGGCCTCCTCTCATTCGTAACCTGTGTTGTTAGAAGTGAATTGTTTATGTAACACAATTAATCTAACAAGCATTTCAAACTTGATTAAATTACCATCCATTCATCCATCGTTTTTCTAACCGCTTTATCTAAATCAGGGTCACAGTGGCCTGGAGCCTATCCCAGCAAGCAACAGGTGAAAGGCAGGATACACCCTGGGCGGGACGCCTGTCCATCAAAGTAATAAAATACAAATAAGAGAAACTACTTTGCAAGAAAGTAACCATCTGCCTTCTTCTTACCAGTATCATGTTTGTTCTCTGCTCTCTGCAAAGATTCGGTGTTCTGCAGTGCTTTTTTTTTGTTCCTCTCAGAACCACGCGTGTGATCCTGACAGGTGTCGTACTGGAGGGAGTGAAGGTGAAGAGACGACTACCTGACCCTTGGATGTGGGAGAACAGCGTCTTTATTGAGCTCACGACGGCAGCAAACAGTAGCTCTCGCCCACTAGGCTTAACCCAAGAAGTTACTGTATGGCAAAGGAGGACGGGTTGCCAGTGTAACCCTGTTTTAACAGGGGCCGCGTAATAGAACTGGCTATAGTTGCTCACGGACGTATCGTCGGCTTCCGAACTACAACTCCCATGACGCACTGCGCGAGTTCCTGATGGCGTAACGTCACAGTCCCTGTTCTGCCTGTCTGTGGTGACGTCTACCGGGTCCCTCCTAGTTCTGGCAGCTTCATAGTCGATCGTGTGCGGTATTTCTTTTAAATAGAAAAAAACACGGGAGGTTATCCAGAGATTATGTACAAATCAGGTAATCTATGTAATCTACCAGCCTACGCGAGGGGCTATTCCTGATTCCTGTCCCACACCTCATTACCCGGGTACACCAGCAACAGCGCACATTGGGGAAACCCTCCAGAGTAACCACGTGAATCACAGATCAGATTCAGCCAGCTTTGCTGTCACGACCGATTAATTCCAGTGTTGCAGAACCAATGGCGTTAACAGCGAATAACACTCTCTGCTCCTCGGGCCTTGACAGGTCATCACAAACTGGGCTGTAGCTCTGTTTGGTTTAGTCTCCCTTCTCCCAGTAGGATCGGAAGCTGTTCTGATTCTGGTCATTTGTGAAAAGGCTGGGATGAGTTTTGTTATTTTAGGGAAGACTGTTTGTTTAATTCTGGAGTATCTGTTGCAGTTCAGTAGAAAGTATATCTTTGTCCCTCTTTCTCCCCACTGGCAGTGGGAGCACAGCCTGCCCTTTCTTAACTGTTTCACTTTGCTGTCTCTCACCCCGGGCATATACGCGTCGTGTATGTATTGTCTTTTTAGGGTCCTGTAGCATGGAAGAGGCATTAGAGAGGCCAGTAGGGGAAACTCATCCTCAGTCTATGTGGGTCCTAATACCCCAGTATAGTGACAGGGACACTATACTGTAAAAAAGGCACCATCCTTTGGATGAGACGTAAAACCGAGTTCCTGCCTCTCTGTGGTCATTAGAAATCCCAGGGCGTTTCTCTAAAAGAATAGATGTGTTACCCCAGATCCTGGCCAAATTTCCCAATCCTGGCCTATACCAATCATGAATTTCTTGATAATCCCCATCCATGAACTGGCTTCATCACTCTGTTCTGCTCCCCATAGAGAGCTGGTGTGTGGTGAGCGTACTGGTGCACTATGGCTGCTGTCACATGATCCAGGAGGGGCTGCACACTGGTGGTGGTGGAGGGGATCCCCATTACCTGTGAAACACTTTGAGTGGAGTGTCCAGAAAAACGCTATGTAAGTGTAAGCAATTGTTATTATTCTTCCGGGTTGTGCTGTGTTTGTTTTGTGCGTGTCCCAGTGTCGCTTTGTGCTGTGATTTAGTTGACTTTCATCTGTGGGGCTGTCAACAGTTCTGTCCTGACACTGGCTGGTGCCAGAGTGACTCAGGGTAGTTACGGGGTGAAGGGATCGGCTCTTCAGCTCTTACTTCAGCAGGGTCTTGTGCTGGTAGGAGTTCTGGTCACTGCTTTATAAGTGTTACTAACATATAATTTTCTCTTCTGATAATTAGCTGTGGGATTTGGACAAATTCTGGCCTTTATGCATCTTTTGGTAGTTTTCTCTGCACAATGTGTGAATGTTTTTTCAGAACTCGGTGTGCAGGGATTCTACGGGGTGTTTGTCCCATTGTGTGTACCCCTATCTGTGACTGGATCCAGCACTTCACTGCCATGTAGCGCACTGGGTTGGATTTCGTTTTTCTTTTCATCTTCTAACAGCTTCATCAAATTCAGAGTCACCGGGGAGCTGGAGGCTATCCCAGCAAGCAATGGGCGCAAGGCAGGGGACGCCCTGGACAGGATGCCAGTCTACTGCAGGGCTTGTACAAAGACACTCACACTGGGGGCAACTTTCCCAGAAGCCAATTGACCTACCAGTATGGTTAGGGGCTGTGGGAGGAAACCCATGCGAAGAAGGGGAGAACATACAAACTCCACGCAGAGAGCACCCCAGGAATTGAACCCAGTGCTGCAGGGCAGCAAGGCTAACCACTGCGCCACTGTGTCACCCTAAGGAGCTGGATTACACTTGCAAATTGCTCTGGAAACGGCACATCATCACTCCAGCAACGAGTAGACCTACCTAGCGGATTCCACACAGGGAAGGCAGAGAAATCCGCAGGGACTGCACATTGCTGATGTCTCTCTATATAACAGTGAGCACAGCCAGGGAGAAAGCATTCTCGGCCACTGCTGGAGATGGGTGACGTCCCAGGCAAGGCTGTGTCTGAGCTGGTACTCCAGGAGGGAACGAGAGGAAGCTGCGGAGAATTAAGAGGAATAATTATTTTGAAGTTTAGAATTTAGTTCTGTTCTTAAGGGGTGTAAATTTAAACAGATTTATATAAAGGGGTGCATTTAATTTTTACATTAGTAATAATCCCATGTGGTTATCAGAAGGCGCAGTTGTGTGCACTTCACAGTAAAAAGTAGTAAGAAGATGTAGTTTTAGTTTTCTAGGTCACTCAAAGAGGAAAATAATTATAAGGGAAACAGTATGCTGCAATAAAGAAAAGGGGACAAAGGTGTGACAGATTCGACAGCATGGTTCATGACCAAGTGCGTGGCAGGACATTCTAGTGTGAGACCCTGTTAGCAGTCCCAATGGCTTTTGGCATGTCAGACCCATATAACCTTCTCAAAAGATTTATTACAAATCAAGGGTTGGGAAAGTGTAATAAAGATTATTGGGTTTGTGTTCTATCATACAGGAGAAGGAGGAAATGAGTTTAACACAGGAAAAAGGAGTGGGAAGAATATTAACATCTGGCCTTTGCTGAACCCACATCGTGACCTGTCCTGGATGGAGGCCCATGATGTCCTCTCAGTGCGAACAGTTCTGCATTACGAACAAAGGACCAAGGATGATCAAGATTCCAGCGGTCAGATGTGAAGAGAAAACCTGTTGACTCGTCTTCTTCTGGAGGTGCAGAAGCTTTCTGGTCATTGCCAGACCCTGTCTTTGTCTGCACAGGGGATATTGACAGCAGGTTGAAACCAGCTGGCTTGAAAGGAGGAAAATGGCGGTTTATATCGATTGTAATCTCTATTCGTAAAGCAGGTCTATGGAAAGGGAGAGTCTGGCCGAGGATAACATGACTGTTTCAAACAGAGATGAGCTCTCTGAAAGAGTCACGACCACACATAATCAGACACTAGATCTAAAGATCTAAAGATCTAACCTAGACTGTGAACACTGACTCTATCATGAAGAAGGCTCAGCAG